TGTCTATATTTTTCTAAATTGTAATTGTATTTTCTGTATCTATACCTTTTTTTATACTTTTAACATTGACAAAATCATGTAAAATATTTATTTTTATTTTACATCAATAAATATCTATCTATCATCTATATATCTATCTATCATCTCTATATCTATCTATTACATTGGATGTTGATTCGGTATTGGAGATGGACTTGGATATACTCCTACACAACTCAAAACTCAAAATAGCATTTAGTTCGCATTTCGAACACAAAAAAATCTTTTGTATTAAGTTAATTGGCCTTAAGGTTGGTCGTGTTGAAATTTTCAAATTTTGTGTCTGACCACCATGATATATGGCCGGCGGTGTAGTAGAAATACGCCTAAATCCAACGATATATCACTTCTCGCGTTAACGCGGATTTTAACCGTTGAAAGTAAAAGAAATAAATGGGGTATTATTTTTTCTGCAGTAGATAAGAATAATCCACTATGGTTTAGACACAGAAATATTTATTTTTTATTTTAATATAAATATTTCCTTCCTAGACATCCAAAAATTTTACAGAATTTAAATAATAAAGGAAGGATTACTCCACTTAGCCACAATAATTTATTTTATTTAGTTAACTATTTTTTAGTAAACAAATCAACAATTTTAATAACAAGGCAGTAAATAGAGGTAAAAGTAAACTTAAAACACTAAAAATACATTTAATTATAGAATTGGAAAGAAGAATATCAAATTTCTTAGAAGTGTTTCTTTATTTGCGAAATCCTAGCTGCGCAATGAAAATCAAAAAAAGCTTTGAGGATTTTTTCGTACCGAATTTAATTGGAAATCAGAACGCTGGAAGGAATAAACAAATTTCAACAATGAAGAATTAAAAAAGAAAAGTTCTCTTTGCGCCTCGCAGCATCGGGATAAAAGTTTTTCAATCTATAGATTTAATTTTATTGTGAGTTGAACAGAATGAGTGAAATCGGAGTGAAGAGATTTAAGGAGACGATTTAAAACTCTGAAAATTACTCCTATTTTAAAGTTCATTATTTAGTATCCGCGTGAAGTTTGAAAAGTTTCCAATTTTCCAATTTGGTGGAAGTGTAGATTTAGAAAAAGGAAAAGACAAATTCTGTAGCGATTTTGAGAATTTTCCACAAAAGTTTAGCTTACGGAGGAAAAAGTTTCAAAATTAATTTATTAATAATAATTAGAGTATATTCGGATACATTTTCAAACAAATACGGCGTTTTAGAGATTTCCTTTTAGTCTTTAAGATTTTTAGTTTATGGTTTTTTACTTTCCTATCTGTATACAGATATAAGGAAAGTATAGGAATCATGATTTTTTTCGACCTCGAGTTTTCGATGGATTTTTACGTTTTGAGGTCCCCTGAATCCGTTTTGACTATTTTCGGGATGATGTCTCTCTCTGTGTGTGTGTGTGTGTGTGTGTGTGTGTGTGTGTGTGTGTGTGTGTGTGTGTGTGTGTGTGTGTGTGTGTGTGTGTGTGTGTGTGTGTGTGTGTGTGTGTGTGTGTGTGTGTGTGTGTGTGTGTGTGTGTGTGTGTGTGTGTGTGTGTGTGTGTGTGTGTGTGTGTGTGTGTGTGTGTGTGTGTGTGTGTGTGTGTGTGTGTGTGTGTGTGTGTGTGTGTGTGTGTGTGTGTGTGTGTGTGTGTGTGTGTGTGTGTGTGTGTGTGTGTGTGTGTGTGTGTGTGTGTGTGTGTGTGTGTATGTATGTGTGTGTGTGTATGTGTGTGTGTATGTGTGTGTGTATGTATGTCTGTGTGTCTGTGTGTCTGTGTGTCTGTGTGTCTGTGTGTCTGTGTGTCTGTGTGTCTGTGTGTCTGTGTGTCTGTGTGTGTGTCTGTGTGTGTGTGTCTGTGTGTGCCTGTCTCTGTGTGTGTGTGTTTGTGTCCACCATAACTCATGAACCGATACACAGGAAAACACCAAATTTTAAACTTAAGCTCTGTTCTAGCGTCCAATGAACTGATTAGATTTTGGGCAGAATCGGAACATCTGGGGGGTACTTTATGGGTGGTCATTTTTATATTTTATGGAATATATCTGTCATTTACGTTTGGTGAAGAAAATTTTTTAAACAAAAGTTGCTTTTAATATTATCTATAATTTTTGTTCCATACAAAATTTTCCTAAAATGGTCCGTATTCGAGAAATTTGACAAAAAGTAAAAAAAATAATTTTTTTATAAAAATTGTTTAAATAAAAGTTGTTTGTAATATAATTCTCTATAATTTTTATATTTCACATAATTTTTCTAAAATGGACCGTATTCGAGATATTTGAGAAAATGTGTAAATTTCGAAATTTGAAGAAAACTCAAAAACGGATAAAGAAAAAAACATTAAATTTTAAACTTAAGTTTTATTTCGGCCTGACGTGAAATGATTAGATTTTGGACAAAGTCGGAACATCTGGGGGTACTTTATGGGAGGCCGTTTTTATATTTAATGGAATATATCTGTTATTTGTGTTTGTAGAAGAAAATTGTTTGAATAAAAGTTACTTCTTATATTATTATCTATAATTTTTGCCTTTTGACAAAATTGCCTTAAATGGTCCGTATTCGAGAAATTTGACAAAATGTGCAAAATTTTGATTTTTATGAAAATTGTTTACGATATCGATCTATAATTTTTGTTTATACAAGATTTTTCTAAAATGGACCGTAATGAAAAAATTGTAGGAAAAGTGCTAAATTTAAATTTATCAGTATTTTCGTTTTCAATGAATATCTATAAAAAATGTTTCGAGGTAAATGTATGTGGAAAATGTATATATTTAGTTTATCCTCTAAACATTTAAATAGTTGCTGCAATAGGTTGTACAAAATAACCGGCAAAAGCCTATAATAACTAGATAGGAAAGTCGTGTTGGACACATCAGATTTTTAAAATAACTAAATATAAGTAGAAAGTAGTACTTATATATATGTAGACATTAGGCAATATTTCTGTTATTTGTTACTAAAAAAATGTGATTTTTAGTTTTGGGTTATTATAAACAACGTGTCTGTACCCCATTAGTCAAGTAAAAGCTTTTATCTACAACTGTCATTATATGGATGTATTATATGCGTATCTAAGGCAACATAAAGCAATCCATATTTCACTAGTGAGAATATATTCATATTACACGATTTTTGTCAATTATAACACACCACAATTAAAAATCATTAGATCTAGTATGACAAGTTAGTTGACAGCATGTTGACAGTTATTCGTTGTTCCTGATTCTTTTTTGAAATTAAACTTAAAATATTAAGCCCATTTTAAGTGTTTATCAATTAAGAAAATGGAAGACGATGATAACATGGAACTAACACCCCCTGAAATCCGCGACGCTGTTAAAGTGGCGTCGTTGGAATTATTACCTGAAATATAAATTGGCGTTTTATTTCACACGGTGGCTTAAATACTCCTCATTTGAAAGGTCTTTTAATTGTGAACAATCTTGTCAATTCTATTTATAACAACTTCAAAGAATTTTTTCTAAAAATCCTCTTTTCGTTTTCGGTGAGCCCCCGTATTCAGTTGTAGATAAAGTATAGTATTCAATTAGTGTATAATGGACCATAATACACTCGAATATTTACAACACTCGTGTAATATGGTCAACATTTGTAACCGTTTTCGTTATTTTGAAACCACCATCTCTACACAAACGTCATTTGTCGTTTATGCCTTGTGTCAAAACTCGGGTTGTCATTTCGACTTACCTCTGTCATCGAGCAAGTTGAATTATTGAATTTTAATTATCTTTTATCTTGGACATCCGATGTACTAATTATCTTAAATATTTTTAATGACCGTCTGATTTTAAAAAGGTAAGTTTCCTACCGATATTTTGTTGAAAATATATATTTAGTACAAGAATTTCTTTATTAAAATGTCAAATTTGAAACATAACCTCACACATTGAATCCCACGAGAAATCACATGTTTTATATAATATTTTGTTTGAAAGAGATGATATGCTTTACTATATTTAAATGCGTTAAATAAGACTTTTTCTTTTCCTATTAAATTTGGTCTCTGTGAAGCTATTTAAATAATAGTTTAATTTGTACATTTGATAGTAAAAAGCATTCTATCTGTTTCCTATATAAACTCTTCCTATTTCCTTTCTTTATATTTTTACCTTTTTCCTTGTAGCCTGGCTGTATATAGATGGTCCTATAGAAGTTGTATATAGATGGTTTCAGTAGAAACTCAATAGAAACTATATAGATGGTTCAATATAAGCTGTATCTAGATGAATTTTAAAAGAACGTACAAGCTGCCTGTTTGGAATACATCAAGAAGTTTAGTTCAACCACCGAAAGAAGTTAACGAGATTTCACTTTACCTTTGAAAATGTAACAAGAAGGCCTCTACAGTCACTCCTTAAATGTTACCTCGATTCCACAGATAAGTTATTAATAAATCATTTAAATTTGAATAATGAAGTCTCTGTGAATTAGAATTTGTCGCTACCTTATTTAATTATAATATCATAAAGGTTAGTGATTTTCTATATTTTCATCATTAATCGCTTGTCAAGTTTAGAAAGTTTAAATATAGTGGCGTCCAACATTCTTTTTCGAAGTGATACGAGTTGTGTAATAACCTGACCCACTCCCCAAAATCATAGAGCTTAAAACACTATAAAAATAGATAAAATAATAAGATCATATTACACATTATACACTTATTGAATAATATACTATTAAATGGGTGTGAACAAGAATTTATTTTCATTTATTTTGTTATTTTACTTTAAAACACCCTATATAATAATTTTGCATGATCATAGTTTAAGCCGATTCATATTTTAATTTGTATTGGCGTCTCAGAAAGATTGAACTGGATAGTAATAATCAAATAAGTTGCACACGTTGAAAATATTGGTCCTACGATAGTTCTGTTTATAATAAAAAAATCTGCTGCAGAACATTTAGGTGTTATTTTTTCAATGTAGTTTGCCAAAAAGAATAATTCTGTTTTAATTTCGTACTTCACCATGTCTTGCAGTTTATAACAAGTTGCTATGAATATTCTAGTACTATTTTCGATGTGATTACATTTCGTTATTAGAACCATCAGACAAATCTGAAAGAACGGATAAAATGTATACTTTTATATTTTTTTACTTATTGATTTTAAATAACTTACCACGTACGACGAAGTTTTAAAAACTATTGGTGCTATAAACCATATTCTGAAATTTGGCATTAAACTATAATTCAAACACAATAAAATTTGGAATATAGTTGCGAAGAATATAAAAACTATCACCCATCCAAATATTACGTTAAAACATTTTAAACTTGATACTACCAGTTTGTAGATTTTTCTAATTTCTTTAAGTTTGTACATTTTTTCTTCTGTTAATAATAATGGATCTGTTAAATAACTATATAGAAGGTTGTTAAGAAACATTATATATTCATTAATTATTGTGAGAATATTACATATCACAATCGACATAAAAAAATAAACAAGTCTGTTTAAAAAATAAGTTACTTGTATATTTCCTACTGATCTAAAAATCACATAGGTCTGTAGAAATTCAATACAAATAGTTGCTGATAACCATGCAAAAATAATAAAACATTTTATACAAAAGATATACAAGTTTCCATTTTGTTTTTGATACATTTTAGATAATTTATTTATGCACTTTACTAATTTTTTCCACTCTTTTTTATATAATATTTTAATTAGTAAACAATAAGTCACTGAAAATGTCGAATTTCCTCTTATCATATAAATTATTATAATTAATATTATCATTTTGGTATATCCTATATACGAACAAAAGTATACTTGATGCAACCATAAAATCGTTATTATAAATGCAATTGTTACTTTCGTTAAAACGTTATAATTTTCTTCATTAGAATTTGCTGGAAAGAAAAAACATTTGCCTATTCTTATAAATTTTTCAAACAAAATTATGTCTCTGGCTGACATAATTTTCTATATTATAGTATCTAGGTAACTTAGTTTAAAGTGGCCATTCAGAAAATACCTAATACATAATGAGACTTTGATTGTAGATAATAAAAAAAAATGTTCTAAATTCCCAATGAATCAAATTAGACACGTCAGTGGTAGATTCCATGTAAATTCATATAATATTTATTTAAATTGGTAAATTTACATGCATTAAACTTGAGATATAATCTAACAATAGGTTAAAATATCTAAACATCGACATCCACTTTTAATAAATGCCAAATATTCTAATTTGATATGGAAAGTATATACAGGGTGGACCGGATTTAATTTGCGTATACAGAGATTTCGTAAACCGTAAGATATACATTGTCGGTTAAATGGGGAAAAAGTTTCGTATTTTGACGGATAATACAATGGTCTATAGAAGTTCCAGATTTTCTGACTGGTTCCGGAGATATTCGATAAAATCCGAAAAACCTCATTTTCGTTTTTTAAGTCGTGCGTTGTTATTATAAAAGATACAAAAAAAAATTATAAGAACTTTTTGTTATAAATCAAGTTTCCTATAATCTGCCATAATAAAATTATTATTACGACGTTTTGTATTTCAGGGCCACCTTCAACTTATTTTTTTAAATACGGTCCTGGATTTTTAACTATAATTTTTTATAGCTTTTGTATAGCTTAATACAACGATATGTTATACTTTACCATTTCGTCTATCAAAAAAAATCATCAGCTATGTAGCTTCTGATGATACCGTTTCTTACTTGATTAAAACAAGATAGCTAATTAAATAATAATTAAAAAACAAAAAATGCTTAAAATGTAAAATTTTAAATATTATTTGAAACATAATACAAGAATTATTTAATTACAAAATGGGTTACAATTTTTTATCAAACCTGATTAAGTACAATCAGCAAACAAGGCTAGAACGAATTATAGTTGTACACATTCTACAAATAATAAAGCTAATAACAAAAACATAAAATGAAAAACAAAACGGTCAAGCAATCTATAAATTCCAACCACCTGATTTTCTGTAAAATCTTTCGCTTAGGTTTCTCACACCGTATTTTTTCTATCTTTAACGTTTTCATTTTTGCATACATAAGATCTTAACAAAATCATGTTTGCCATGCATGTCAGTTGTAACTTGTCACCAATATTTCTGTTATAATCTATAACATCTAATATTACAGTACTTTTTTAGCTTTAAATAATTTAAAATTAAATAAATATTATGGTTCCTTATATTGATGAAGAGAAGAAAGATATGTATGATGTGTACATAAGATGGTATAGGAATGAAACCCGGTCAGCTCAGACTTATTTAGATTTATATCCTGATAGACAACAGCCATCTTATATTTCAAAAAATATGGCAGAGCATAGCAGTGTGAAAAAAAGGAGAACTAGATATCAGGTTCGACATACTGATAATGAAATAATGTTCTTGCCCAAATACATATTAACCCTGAAAATTCTACTACGCGAATAGCTAAAGAATGTGTAGTAGGAACGTCCACGGTTAAAAGAATTTTAAAGAAACATAAATACCACGGATATAAATTTCAAAAAGTCCAGAAAATATACGCTGGAGACTCTGATAGAAGACTGATGTTTTGTCGTTGGTATAGTAGAAAACTGCGCAATGACCGTTCTTTCAACAAAAAGATATTATGGACGGATGAATGCTCCTTTACTAATAGTGGAATATTTAATCCCAGGAACAAGCATTTGTATGCTACTTCTAATCCCCATTTAATCAGAGAAGTTAGACCACAGTTCCGTTTTACCCAAAATGTGTGGTGTGGACTAATCAATAATCATATTATTGGGCCGATTTTTTTGGATGGTAATTTAAATCAGTTCCGATACCTACATTTATTGGAGGAAGTACTCGATGAGATGCCCTTACAAACAAGACAAAATCTTCAATACATTATGCAAGACGGTTATGGTGCACACAATGCTAGGAGAGTTGCAGAGTATCTCGATCAATATTTTAGAGGTAATTGGATTGGTACCAATGGACCAATAAGATGGCCTCCTCGATCTCCGTGTCTTAACCCCATGGATTACTTTGTATGGGGCTTCGTAAAGAACCAAATCTACGACAAAAATATGCCAAATAATCTACAAGAACTTCGTCAACGAATAGTAGATGCATTATAAAAAATTATACCAGAAATGGTTGATAAAACTACATCCCAAATGTCTAGGAGAATTGCACTCTGTATCCAACAGAATGGACTACATTTTGAGCAACTATTGTGACTGTTTTTGTTTTTTAATTTTGTTTTTGTTATTAGCTTTATTATTTGTAGAATGTGTACAACCACAATTCGTTCTTCATTAGTCTTATTTGCTGGTTGTACTTAATCATGTTTGATAAAAAATTGTAACCCATTTTGTAATTAAATAATTCTTGTATTATGTTTTAAATAATATTTAAAATTTCACATTTTAAGTATTTTTTGTTTTTTAATTAGCTATCTTGTTTTAATCAAGTAAGAAACGGTATCATCAGAAGCTACATAGCTGATGATATTTTCATAGACGAAACGTAGTAAAATGTTAAAGTGTAACATATTGTTGTATTAAGCTATACAAAAGCTATAAAAAATTACAGTTAAAATGCAGGTCCGTATTTAAAAAAATAAGTTGAAGGTAGCCCTGCAAATACGAAACGACGTAATAAAAATTTTGACATGGCAGATTATAGGGAAGTTGATTTATAACAAAACCTTCGTATATTTTTTTTGTATCTTATATAATAACAGTGTGCGACTTAAAAAACCAAAATGATTTTCGGATTTTATCGAATATCTCCGGAACCAGTCAGAAAATCTGGAACTTCTATGGACCATTGTATTATCCATCAAAATACGAAACTTTTTCCCCATTTAACCGACAATGTATATCTTACGGTTTACGAGATCTCTGTATACGCATATTAAATCCGGTCCACCCTGTACATATACGAAGTGAAAATTAAATGTTAACATTCAAAAAATAATTAATTATAAAATTAAACAAAAAATATCAATTAGTTTCTTTTCTATTTTCTATTTGCTGAAAGAAATATATCCATCACCATTATTCTTTCGTTTGCATGCAGTTGTCTTTTACTCGAAGTTCCAAAGACCTATTTATAGAATCTAGCATTAAATACGTGATCTTCTCAACCTAACGGTACTTTTGATATACCACTCGTCTTTCTTGCTCACCGTATGACATAAGTATAAGCTTGTCGTGTGACATAACCCTCTCAAATTAAGTCAAAATCCTGATCAATACTAACGAAAGAAACGAAAGTAAGCTATATTCAACACGGAATGACACACAGATGACAGCTGTAACAAATTATGACCAGTAATCTACTAAGTCATTGATTATTTTTTTTAAGTGACAGACGTATCTTAGTTAAAGTAAAATCAACCCTACCACAAGGTCAAACTAAAACGTGTCAATTCATAGAAATTCATAGAAATTCATAGAAATTCATAGAAATTCATAGAAATTCATAGAAATTCATAGAAATTCATAGAAATTCATAGAAATTCATAGAAATTCATAGAAATTCATAGAAATTCATAGAAATTCATAGAAATTCATAGAAATTCATAGAAATTCATAGAAATTCATAGAAATTCATAGAAATTCATAGAAATTCATAGAAATTCATAGAAATTCATAGAAATTCATAGAAATTCATAGAAATTCATAGAAATTCATAGAAATTCATAGAAATTCATAGAAATTCATAGAAATTCATAGAAATTCATAGAAATTCATAGAAATTCATAGAAATTCATAGAAATTCATAAAAATTCATAGAAATTCATAGAAATTCATAGAAATTCATAGAAATTCATAGAAATTCATAGAAATTCATAGAAATTCATAGAAATTCATAGAAATTCATAGAAATTCATAGAAATTCATAGAAATTCATAGAAATTCATAGAAATTCATAGAAATTCATAGAAATTCATAGAAATTCATAGAAATTCATAGAAATTCATAGAAATTCATAGAAATTCATAGAAATTCATAGAAATTCATAGAAATTCATAGAAATTCATAGAAATTCATAGAAATTCATAGAAATTCATAGAAATTCATAGAAATTCATAGAAATTCATAGAAATTCATAGAAATTCATAGAAATTCATAGAAATTCATAGAAATTCATAGAAATTCATAGAAATTCATAGAAATTCATAGAAATTCATAGAAATTCATAGAAATTCATAGAAATT